GTTCAGATAAAACATTGTGCCAAGCTACAGACTTTATTGACATAAAGGCTCCCTAGGTATTAATCAAAAATTACTTTTACTAGACTCCCTAGGCAATCAAATAAATATCTATGAGGCTACATTGTTACAAGGTACAGACTTTCTATTGCATTCAGCAAGACTTAATCCATGTGAAATTAAACATTGCTGTACATGTATTTAAAATTATCCTCTGAAATGAAAGTGAATATCATGTTAAAAACTAGCACAGTGAATGTAGTAAACTAATACTCACTTAAATTGTCTAAGTTCCATATCAGCAAGTGCTAACTGTCCATCTTCTTCAGTCAGTTTCCATCTTGCACTGGCAAAGCATACTTCAGCTCTTCTAACAACACTACTACTCCCCTCTGGAAAGAAAATGCATGAGACGTTATTAATACTTTCAATACTAGCCCTTTGTTAAGGTTGTAAATTTAGACAATTACATTTAGAACATTTTACAAAAAATTACAATTTTTTAAAACTTTACTGAATCTTAAGTCTTTAATTTTTATGATAACATCATTTTAATGAGGTCACATGACCATGTATGGGCATTACATATGTTTAACTTATTAAATCTAGTATGTAATTTCTTCAATAAAGCACTGATGAATGTTTTTTTTTTTACATTGTTCCTGTATATTTTTCTTTTTATTATTATTTGTACTTTTCAAGTCAAAATCCTAATAAGGATACGAAAAATTATTATTATTATTATTTTACCAGCTACATATACATGTATTGTATTGGGAGTGAGGCTAGTGGTGCTAATAGTTAGGTTTATGCCTGTCATGACTCAAGTGAACACAAATACTACATTGTTCACATACAAGACATGCATATCCCGCAATTATGTAATCAAGTACAAGGCAGAATTTGATACGTCAAAAAACATGTCTACAAACAAGCTGCTCTCTGATTGGTCAGACTGTTATATGCTAAGGTTGGGTAGCCAATCAGGTACAATCTTGCATGTAGATTTGCATTGACTCCAATTTTCATCATGTACTATACAAGTAGGGGTACACATTTAGACTTGTACAGAATATTCATCTTATATGACCTATGACCCAATTTAAATAAGATGTAGCCTCTGGTCGCTTTCAATCTGACCAATTATATAACAGGATACAAATCATGTTCAAGTCTAGTGAGGTTATCAACCAATCAGAATGTCTGTTACAGACCGTTCTCTAATTGGTCAATCAGTCTTGACAGAGGTAAGCTGGCATACCATATTTGTTCTATTAGAAGCACATCTCCAATATAGAAGCACACGTAAACCAAAACTTACATTTGTTGTCCACTGAATCATTATAATTGTACTTATTTTTACCATAGAACCATCTCTGTAATTTATACAAGTGCATACTCTACTTATGGAGTGGATGCAGTGGTTTAATTGTTTGTAAACAGAGATACTCTACACCAACGATCAACGTCTCAACTTGCATATGATTTTCGTCTCACTTGGATTAGATTCAGACTAACACATTATATTTAATTGTCAGATTCTACTCATAGACACATCTGTTTGGACAACTGTTAAAATGAGTTGAAGAAAAATTAAAAAAAAATATAAAAATAATTGGCAACAATGACAGGGTTACCCTTGAAATTGTATTTATATGTTTCAAGTTTATTACCTCGTTTTGGTTGTAGTTGTATTTTATTTTGTAGTTGGCTTTCTTTAAAACAACTGAAATAAAGAATGTAAAGAAATTATTAATACAAATATTAATACAAAAACTGGAAACATTCAAAAATTGTAATATGTATTAACACATACATTATAGGTACTGTATTGGCACAAATTAGTAGCATGTGAATAAAAGGTGTATCTATGGTTGAAATAAATCATATACAATGATCCAGAATATAATGAATGACTTCTGTGTGCTTCTAATGGAGATGCCTTCTAATTCCTAAATAAGGCAAAGTTACAAATGATTACTTATGGAGATACCATATTAGCTCTATTAGAAGTTCACCCCCAATAGATGAACCAAAAATTACATTTAACCTTTCTACTGTATGCTGGGTCACAGAATATGACTTATTTTGACAACAGACACACCTATGTGCAGGTAAATCGATACAATGACATAATATAATAATAACATCAAATCATGAAACAACTAAATTAAAAACAGATATCAAAACAAACATCACACTGATTCATGTTTGGATTTGTGTTCACTATATTAATTGCTAAAACTATGTTACTTGAAATTTTATTAAAATTATAAAAGTACAAATTATTCCCACACACCTGACCATAATCCTGAGATCTTCACTTGAGTTCAATAAACTTTCCTTGCAGTCATTTAACTGTTGTTCTAGATCAGTGCTCTCTTGCAGTAAACTGAAAATATATTAGAGTGATATCCAGCATTTAAATCCTTGCTTAACAAATGAATTCAAAAATATGACAATTTAAAAAAAAAACATATAGGACAATAATTTCAAAACCAATCTAGCTTTGAAACAAATTTTTGATATTTTTCATTTAACTATTTGATTGTATTATCTCCATCAAATTGTCACTTACAGAACATATAATTGTCCAAAGACAAACATAAAAACCTACTGAATAACCCCCAATAAGCTACACAATTATTTTTGACAACCCAAAACAAAACGAAGTGGGTTCTGCAGATGAACAGTAAGAGCCATATTCAAATATAAACTCTTGATACCCAAAGTGCTTCTGCACAATTGCTTGCTAGTCATTCCCAACATCCTTTACTATGCAGTTTTTGAACAGTCACGGTTTGCGAACAATGAACCACATTTTGCCAATATATTAGAAATATCATAACCATAATCAAATAATTATTAGCTTTTTTTTAAATATGTTTACATCATATTCATCAGTGCTGTCATTGACGTTGGCATTTGCACTCCCTAGAGAATTTGTGTCTGTTTTCAAACAATTTTAGGATTTATTTAATAGGGGTAATGCATGAATCGGTATACCCGGTATGTCCTTCTATTGCATTTTAGTGAAGGTAAAAAGTCTGTTACAGCGAGATCCGAAAGCCAACTGTTTAGTAAAAACCCAAGCAGTTAGCCAATTTGCTAGCGTGTTTGCAAATTGGCTTCCCTCAAACTTGTAAGACTTGCTGCAATACAGTGCAAAGATAATGCAACATATGGTATTACTTACTTAGCATCGTTAGCATTGTCTTCAAGTTCTCGTTGTACCAGATAAAGTTCTCTTTCTAATTTGCGTAAATTGGATAGTAGAAATCTACAGATAAGAACATTGACTTACACTTAATATAGTAACACGTCAAATACCATAATTGTTTCATAAATGCATAAAGAGAAATTGTTATTGGTAATAAATTGTTGATAATGATTCCCATAACAGTGAAGAGCACAAAATTGATGAAGTTGATAAACAAAAACATGACAGTGAATTCCTCAATGTCATGTCATACCTGACAGTGTCTTGTAACTGCAATAAAGGACTCCGCTGATCTTCGATGCTTGTCAATTGCATTTGAAACTTAGTTCGTTGAAGTCTTTCACTTGCTTCCTGTTAACAAACAAACAACCAACCAATTCACAACCGATTTCAAAAAGGCTTCTGGTGAATGTGCATTCTAAAATCAATGTGAACATTTATCTTTTTATTTCAATTTTAAAATATTATTTTTATTTTTCCTGACAATTGACTCAAAAATTTTGTAAACAATCTACGCATACAATTTTGACTGAAGCCCACCATGGTCATAAATACAAACAATTTTATCAGAGTTTTGAACAATAACTAAAATTAGATATTATAAAATAACAATGTGAAAATCATAAATGATTTTATTATAATACATCTCTCACTGTAATGCCATAAGTTACAGCGTGCCGTAATTTTGCGTTAATTTACGAGGCATTTTCATCCTACCATATTAGGAAATGCGAATTCCAAATATGGAATGATCATGCATGTAAGCGTCTTCTAATGATAAAAACAAACATGGCTGCCAGAGTTTGACCGGACTCCACACAAAGAAGTTCGCTGATTCTGTTTCTGAAACATTTTGGATTTCTGGATTCTCATGATGTATACTTGGAAGGAAAAGATGTATAATAATAAGGCTATTACGAGAATACCTCAAAGTATGCACTCAGACAGTACATCGCGCGTCGGTTCATACTTCAGCTGAACTATCTTCGTGCATACATTGAGGTATCCTCGTAATAACCTCATATTAATAATAACAATAATGATACTCACTTTTCTCTTTGGTTCCACATAAAGTAATAAATTATTAACAATATCTAAAATCATGGCATACTGAGATGAATTTGTACAAATATTTAAATCATGATGTAATAATGTAAATGAATCGACAGCCTCCTCTCTACTTAGTAGATCACTATCAGTACTGCAATTCTGAAATATACAAATAAACACATAAAGAAATGGTGATGGCCATACTATACATTCTCAGTGTTACCAAAGAAACCAACAATTCATAATATTATACAAATTAATGCCAATTTTAATGACCACTTAGTAATATAAACAGCTAATTTCATGTCAACTTGAGGAGTACACTTTTAATGGGAACATGTAGGTGTGATCAGCTTTTTTCAGGCCAACTTGAGGAGTACACTTTTAATGGCCATGGGATACTGAGCTATATTTATGACCAACATAGGGAGTACAAGTACACTTTTAATGGAACATGTAGGTGTAATCAGCTTTTTCAGGCCCACTTAGAGAGCACTCTTTTATTGGTCACCTAAGGTATACTCAATTATATTTATTACCAACATAGGGAGTACAAGTACACTTTTAATGGGAACATGTAGGTGTAATCAGCTTTTTCAGGCCCCACTTGGAGAGCACTCTTTTATTGGCCAATTAAGGTATACTCAATTATATTTATTACCAACATAGGGAGTACAAGTACACTTTTAATGGGAACATGTAGGTGTAATCAGCTTTTTCAGGCCCCACTTGGAGAGCACTCTTTTATTGGCCAATTAAGGTATACTCAATTATATTTATTACCAACATAGGGAGTACAAGTACACTTTTAATGGGAATATGTAGGTGTAATCAGCTTTTTCAGGCCCACTTAGAGAGCACTCTTTTATTGGTCACCTAAGGTATACTCAATTATATTTATTACCAACATAGGGAGTACAAGTACACTTTTAATGGGAACATGTGGGTGTAATCAGCTTTTTTCAGGCCCCACTTGGAGAGCACTCTTTTATTGGTCACTTAAGGTATACTCAATTATATTTATTACCAACATAGGGAGTACATGTACACTTTTAATGGGAACATGTAGGTGTAATCAGCTTTTTTCAGACCCACTTAGAGAGCACTCTTTTATTGGCCACCTAAGGTATACTCAATTATATTTATTACCAGCATAGGGAGTACATGTACACTTTTAATGGGAACATCTAGGTGTAATCAGCTTTTTTCACACCCACTTAGAGAGCACTCTTTTATTGGCCACCTAAGGTATACTCAATTATATTTATTACCAGCATAGGGAGTACATGTACACTTTTAACTCAATTATATTTATTACCCACTTAAAAAGTACACTCTTAATCACAGCAAAGGTGGAATTAGACAATTTCATGTCTAAAATTATACTTTTAATGGAAACCAATGGGTGTACTCAGCTATATTTTTAACCTACTTAGGGAGTATACTTTTTTTGGCCACCTAAGGAGTACTAATCTATTTTAGTGATCAACTAAGAGAGAATACTTACTAAATCCGAATGTGCTTGTGTGGCAAGTTCTGAATCAATATCTGCCGTATAACTCGCATAAAAAAACTGACAACTACATCGTGATATCATTCTCTGTAACTGGACGGCGGATTGGTCTTCCATAACAGATGAAGTAGCACCAACAGTGTTGCTAACGATACCACCCGCAGACTGACCGCTACCAACCATGTCCGCGACATTACCAATAGTCGACACAGACGATCTCTCTTCTATGTTAGACACTGATAGCCACGGTATCTCATGACGTTCTGACAGACCTTGGTCTACTGTGGCAAAGTACTATAAACACAACGAACATTATGCATGATAAAGTTGTCAGAAAACAAACATATGTTTTAAATGCTGAAGTTCATATAACCATCATGAATGTGAATTACTAAAATTACCGAGAACTATTTTGCTATCCGGAAAAGTACAGAGCTGCATTTTTCACCATTTTGTTTTTCATACTTGTTTTCATCGATGTAATTAATAAATCAAAGAGTCAAAGTTAAATTTGTTTTACCAAATGAGTAAACACACTGTGACATGTCACATGACATGGTGTATAATTATGATCCTAGTTTGTAAATAACTGGGAAGCAAAAATCAACAAAAATATTCATGAATTCTCAAACTGTATCGTATTATAAAAGTGGAATTGTAAATCATACACACAAAAATCTTAACAAATAATTCTGAAGCGCAACAAGAACATATTACCGGTAACAGATACATGTACCAAAGTGAAATGTACACCTCTGGGTAGCTGCTATAAGGTCAAGTCTATTTCACAGAAACCCCATATTCTCATCAAGATTATACATAAAGACAATACTACATTTCTATGACGATAATCAAATCATTCCACAATCCCCCAATATTCACCAATTCAGTGTGAAATGCTGCCATGCAGATCATGCATAGTTTCTCAACTGTTAAAAACACCAAAATCAATCTCTGTCAAATTTCACAAACGAAATAATTTTTTCCATATTTTATCAAACATGTACTGTATGCAATTGGAACTCATGTCAGTTAGATCCAAAACTAACTATAACTAACATATAAAAAAAATACCAAAAAAATGCAAAAAGTTGCACACAAAAAGAGTAGCCATAAAAAAAAATGGCGTTCCATGCGTTAAAGACAGTGCTGTTACTACCTGTGTTTCATACCTGCATGCTATCGAGCGTTCCTTTCCAGGTTGTTTTATTTGTAACCTTACCGTCCCTCCATGTTGGCTCGTGTAACGATTGCAATACTTGAGCTCTCTGGGCACTGACGATCACATAGCCCGATGTCTCACAGCCTTTAAGCATCACTTGACTATTGATAAATTCAACTAAGAGAGAAAACATAGTGAAACTAAAGTAGCATTGCCCTATCACACTGATTTCAGACAACTAATGAAAACTAGGGTTTAAAAACACATGCACAGGTTTTAGAACACCTTAGATAACTGACGTAGCTCTAAACAAGTTGTGTTTTTAGTTACTGACTGGAACGTCACAGAATGTAATAATTTTAGGAGGCTAAACTCATGAAATTTAAGCAATGAATTACATAAAAAATGAAAACATAGCACAGATATTTAGTAAGATAAGTGAAAAGATAAGTGAACTTACTTCTCCAATTTTGCAATAATATATCATCAGTACTACATGCCGCTATACCATATAATTGTTCTCCAATACCAGCAGACTGAAAACAATCATCACCATACAATAAAAGAAATATACAAGAAAAAAAGATAGATTTCTGATGAGAAGGGGGAAGGGGGCATAAATTGGCAAGCTGTTGGGCAATCTTCATATGAAATGTAATTTTAAGAGAGAGTTGGTTAAGGTCAATCACAGTAATTAGACCTGATAAATAAGAATGTAAAGTTCATCATAATTTTTTTTTAATCAAAAGTGTCATGTAATTATTGATTATGACACCTCATCAACTTTGTTCACCCAGTATTTTTGAGGGGAAATACTGCCTAAAACAATGAAAAAATGGATATTTTAGAATAATTTCATTTAGAAGCTTTATGGTGCCATGGGACAATAGCTTCATGATTTTACATATAAAACCAATGAACATTGTTGTGCGATTTATGAGCAACTTTCTCAAAAATTATGAGTAGGCCTATACCTTTAAATAAATAAATGAATGAATGAATGAATGAATGAATGAATGAATGAATGAATGAATGAATGAATGAATGAATGAATGAAT